TGCATTTAAGCATGTGACATTTGTTTAACTTCAATAATACAAGACCACATTACATTTAAAACGTTTTGAATTCTGTTTCTATGCTGTGCTTTTCTTTTAACGTGTATTAATACTTGTTTCTGTCTCAATTTAAATAAAACAGTAGAATCTACCTTTTTTCTAAATACTGCATTATACTGTACTATTTATTGTATAAATATTGTATCGTATTGTTGTTGTTTTTCTAAACTCCCAACATTTTTTATTTGAATATTTGTCTTTTATTTTGAAGGGTTGCCTACATGGCTGCCATCGACTTCGGGCGAATAGGCTTTTATTTTGAAGTGTCGCCTACAAGAGGGGTCTTCGGTGTCGTTTTTGTTTATATAAATTAAAATTTTAGTGTGCTTTATTATAATCGCAAAAAAAAAAAAAACTATTGGTAGTGGTATTTTGGTACTGATAATACGCACATGTGTATTCATTTTTTAAATAAGATTTAAATTAAGTAATATGACAACAAGTGCAAATCAAAGATATATCAACACATATAAATAAAATATTAGTGCAAAATAAAATAAAGTTAAATGAAATTAAGCTACAGTACAGCATAAGCTATCAAAGTAGCAATTAAACGTACACAACTACGTATTTAGTGGTTTCGTTGAGTCTTTTATTGTGAAAGGTTTCGTAGATGGCGGCCATCTTTGACGCGATGACGCATTGACGCCGACTTTTATCTGACTGACGCATCAGTTTCATTCCGTCTGTAAACAAGCCACCGACGAAAGTTATTATGCCTCAACTAATAACTTATGATCACGTTAATACTGAAGCGCACCGGCTCTGATCTGAGATCATCAACAGTTAAAGGTGAGCTGTGTTTTTGAGGTTTATCAGCTGATATATCCGCGCGCTGTGTGTGAAATATGTCACATGATGCATTACAATATAAACATCGTGCAGTAAACATACAGAAGATTCTAGTTCACTGACGCTTTATGCTTGTGTTTGGGTCAGTGTGTGTTGTTTCTGATCACATTTGGATGTGAGTGTGTTATGTAACATCATATCTGTGCAAATACACACACATTGCAGCGGAGAAACTTTGTTGCGTTTCATGCGTTCGAAACATTCCGATCTCTTACAAAATGTAACATTTTTTTTTTTTGAATAAATGAATGGATTTGAAAATGTTTGTGATGGCTGATTTAAGCCAGTGAGTAAATGGTCAAAGTGGGGTTGTTATTTTATTATTGTTTGTATACTATTACAGCATTTGTTGATATTTTAATTAGTGTTTATTTTTATATATATATATATATATATATATATATTCATTGAATCATGCTTATGTAAATCGATGTGAGATAAAAAAAAAAAAAGTTATGACATTAAACGTCGACAAACAGTTGTGACATAAAACAATTATGACAAAATTGTTGACCTTTTATGTCAGTTATGACTTATGTCATAATTTAAACCTTTTTTTAATAATTATGACTATCTCAGAATTTCAAATGTTTATTTCCTAATTTCGAATTTATCCAATAACTATTACTTAGAATCTCACAATTTTTTCTTTTCTTTTTTTTGTCATATTTATGACTTTTTATCTCATCTCGACTTCCTGTCTCATAATAATGGCTTAGTATCGTACTTTAGATATTTTGTGATGATTATTTTTATCTCAAAATTTCAACTTTTTATCTTATAATTATGACTTTATCTCATAATATTGTGTTGTCATTATAACGTTTTATGCCATAATTACTTTTTATCTCATAATTATTACTTAGCATCTCACAATTTTGACAATTTTTATGTCATAATTATGACATTTTCAAAATTATGATGTACCAAAAACTGATGCTTAGGTAAATCATTGTTGTGAGATAAAATGTCATTATATGAATCATGACATAAAAATTAAAAATTGTAAGAAAAAACAAAAACAATGATGACAAAAGTTTTTGACCTTTTATGTCATAATTATGGCTTATTTCAGCTTTTTATCTAATAATTTTTTTTTTTTTCTCATAATTTCTATTTTTTGTCATAATTTTTATTTTTATTCCACAATTATGACGTAATTTAATAATATCATAATTATGACTTTTTATCTCATAATGTTGACTTTGTCTCATAATTATGGCTTAGTTACATTTTGTGATAATTGACTTTTTATCTCAAAAATTGCAACTTTTTATCTCATAATTATGAAATTTTCAAAATAATGATGTACCAAACAATTATGCTTAGGTAAATCATTGTTGTGAGATAAAATGTTTTTCATGTTCAATTATGACATTAAAAAGTAAAAATTGTTAGGAAAAACTCAAAAGTTTTTGACCTTTTGTCATAATTATGACTTATTATTATTATTATTATTACTTATTATTGGCTTTTTATCTCAAACTTTCAACTTTTTAATCTCATTATTATGACTTAGCATCTCACAATTTGACTTTTTATGCCATAATTATAATTCTCCATGTTTTTTCCCATATGAGGTGGAAATTGGCTTCTAGGAAAGCCTGTTTTTTCATATTTCTCTCAAAATTGGGAGACTTTTTGTCTGTTTGCGTTAAAGCCAAAGGAGCATTGATGTAACTGTGCTTTTCTCTGTTTGCACTGCACAGTCATGATGGCACACGGGTCTCCTGACGGCTGTTTGGAGTCAGAGCTCACCTGTCCCATCTGTCTCCATCTCCTCCTCGACCCGGTCACTCTTCCCTGTGCTCACAGTTTCTGCCTGGTTTGTCTGGAGACACCAGAGAGGGACAACACTTCTGGATTTGATCAAGCACTTTGCTGCCCAGTTTGTGGACAGGAACATCTCAGCCCAGAGTCCCTTCCGAGAAACATCAAACTGAAACAGATAGTAGAGAACTACAAAGCCAACAGCATCAGTGGTGAACTTCAGTCCAGTGCAAAAGACAAGATAATCAATGACCGGCCATCTCCAGAAGACGCTGACGTGTGCAAATCAACAGATTCTGGGAAAAGCTCTCTTGTGGAGACTGAAACCAATGAACGGAGGTCTAGACTGAATCCCGTCATAACTAGTCTTCAAGAAAAGCTGGCTCTAGTAGATGATCTGGCGAGTAAGGAAAAGGCCAGAGAGGCTGCGGTCAAAGCGACACACGCGGATCTGAGGAAAGATGTGAGCAGCGTATTGGAGGAGATCGCAGAGCTGGTGAAGACCTACAGCACGACTGCTTTGAAGCTTCTGGAGGCCGAGTTGAGACCCAGAGAAGATGCTGTTGGGAAAAGAGTGCGAATGCTGTCAGACCTCCAGAAGCCGCTGAGATCCGCTGAACTTCAGGTCGACGAGTTAATGGACGAGGCGGACGACGTGTGTTTTATTGATGGAGTCCGAGACGTGGAGAACCAGGTCACCAGCTTGACCCTGGCGCCTTTGCAGGACTCCTCCAGCGATCTGGAGTTATCCAGCAGTTTGAAGAAAGTCTGTGAGAAGATCGAGCACCAAAATACCCAACTCCGTCTCGGACTCGGATCCGCTCAGCGGGCTCTACGCGTCGTTCTCAACCCATCCGAGGTCACCTTCGACCCCAATACCATCCATCCCAACCTGGTCTTATCCGAAGACCTCAAAACGGTGTCTTTTAGCGCAGCCAAACAGCCGTATCCGGCCAGATCTCAGAGGTTTTCCAGTTTCTTCCAGGCTTTGAGCTCCCAGAGCTTCGTCCGAGGAGAACATCTCTGGGACTTCCAGGCTGAAGGCTGTGCTTGGGTTCTGGCCGTGTGTTACGGCGAACTGCCCAGATCTGGTTCTGGAAGCGGTCTGGAGAGCAGCGCTGGATCCTGGTGCCTCATGTACTGCGATAACCTTCTGAGGGCGTACGAGAAAGGAAAGGACACGCCGCTTAGACGCACGCCATCTCTGAAGAGAATGGAGATACGCCTCAGCTTTAGCACTGGCACTTTAGCGTTTAACAGCGTCAGTGACGTGAGTGGAGATAAAACTCACCTGCACACTTTTAAAGTCCGCTTCACGCAGCCGGTGTATCTGGCTGTAAGGATGATGTCTGGTCAACCCAAAGCACACATCACTGTAAACTAGTGGTTGAAGAAACCTACTTGTTTCTGCTTTCACCTTATGCATCGAATTGCTAAAATAATTTCTTAGACCTCATGCATCCGTTCTTATCCTGTTGTCATAATGTTATGATGCAATACGTCATTAATGTTCACTTACGCATTGAATGCGTCATTCTACAATAGATTGTCACATGCATTCCGTTTGCAGTATTTCATTTAATCATATCCTCAGTGTATGTTCAGTGTCAGTTCAATGCATGTGATGCTGCATTTAAGCATGTGACATTTGTTTAACTTCAATAATACAAGACCACATTACATTTAAAACGTTTTGAATTCTGTTTCTATGCTGTGCTTTTCTTTTAACGTGTATTAATACTTGTTTCTGTCTCAATTTAAATAAAACAGTAGAATCTACCTTTTTTCTAAATACTGCATTATACTGTACTATTTATTGTATAAATATTGTATCGTATTGTTGTTGTTTTTCTAAACTCCCAACATTTTTTATTTGAATATTTGTCTTTTATTTTGAAGGGTTGCCTACATGGCTGCCATCGACTTCGGGCGAATAGGCTTTTATTTTGAAGTGTCGCCTACAAGAGGGGTCTTCGGTGTCGTTTTTGTTTATATAAATTAAAATTTTAGTGTGCTTTATTATAATCGCAAAAAAAAAAAAAACTATTGGTAGTGGTATTTTGGTACTGATAATACGCACATGTGTATTCATTTTTTAAATAAGATTTAAATTAAGTAATATGACAACAAGTGCAAATCAAAGATATATCAACACATATAAATAAAATATTAGTGCAAAATAAAATAAAGTTAAATGAAATTAAGCTACAGTACAGCATAAGCTATCAAAGTAGCAATTAAACGTACACAACTACGTATTTAGTGGTTTCGTTGAGTCTTTTATTGTGAAAGGTTTCGTAGATGGCGGCCATCTTTGACGCGATGACGCATTGACGCCGACTTTTATCTGACTGACGCATCAGTTTCATTCCGTCTGTAAACAAGCCACCGACGAAAGTTATTATGCCTCAACTAATAACTTATGATCACGTTAATACTGAAGCGCACCGGCTCTGATCTGAGATCATCAACAGTTAAAGGTGAGCTGTGTTTTTGAGGTTTATCAGCTGATATATCCGCGCGCTGTGTGTGAAATATGTCACATGATGCATTACAATATAAACATCGTGCAGTAAACATACAGAAGATTCTAGTTCACTGACGCTTTATGCTTGTGTTTGGGTCAGTGTGTGTTGTTTCTGATCACATTTGGATGTGAGTGTGTTATGTAACATCATATCTGTGCAAATACACACACATTGCAGCGGAGAAACTTTGTTGCGTTTCATGCGTTCGAAACATTCCGATCTCTTACAAAATGTAACATTTTTTTTTTTTGAATAAATGAATGGATTTGAAAATGTTTGTGATGGCTGATTTAAGCCAGTGAGTATTAGTAATTATTATTATTCGTTTTTTAAATTTTTTAATATTTCTAGCTTTAATTTCTTTTTATTTCCGTTTTAGTAATTTTAGTACTAAACCTTATTTTTATTTCAGTTAGTTGCCAAGGCAACATTTCTCATTTTTAAATGTTAAAGTTCTTTGCGTGTCTTTGTGTTATATTGCCACAGTTGTGAATCTAATCTGCATTTTTATGGTGAACTCCTAGAAATCTGTGCGTTACATGCAAATAAGTTGCTTGTATGTTCTATATGTCTGTATATCCTATATGACTGTAAACTGAAGGAGTTGTGTGTTTCGCAGAGGTTTAATCCAGAATGCTGGAGACTGTGACTGATGCAGTAAGTTTGCTCCCTTATGCCAATACCAGTGTGTTTCCCACCACGGACAACAGCTCTGAGTTCAACCCTGACCATGAGAACAACATCACCAAACCACACAGATGCCTGCAGATCCTGTACGACGACATCGGACACTCCAGGTACGGCCGTTTCACACTGTCTGTGGACACGTATGTGGCCCTGGACCACAAAACCAGTCATAAGGGTCCATTTTTTGAAAAGCTGAATAAATAAGCTTTCCATTGATGCACGGTTTGTTAGGATAGGATAATATTTGGTCGAGATACAACTATTTAAAAATCTGGAATCTTGAGGGTGCAAAAAAATCTAAATATTGAGAAAATCTTTAAAGTTGTTCAAATGAAGTTCTTAGCAATGCATATTACTAATCAAAAATTAAGTTTTGCTATATTTACGGTAGGACATAATATCTTCATGGAACATGATCTTTACTTAATATCCTAATGATTTTTGGCATAAAAGGAAAATTGATAATTTTGACCCATACAATGTATTGTTGGCTATTGCTACAAACATACCCCAGCGACTTAAGACTGCTTTTGTGCTCCAGGGTCACATATGTGTCCCTATATAATATTGCTATTATATAGTATGTGCATGTCTAGTTGCTGTAAATTTGCAAGTAGTTTTTTTTTTCAGTTTAACTAAGTGACAGGTCAAGGATTTGTGATTTCATGTTTTTATTTATTTATTTGTATGTATTTATTCATGTAGTTTTATTTTGCATTTCCGTGTGCTGAAACTGACTGCAGTTTTCATCTGGGCTCTCTGCCATGTTTGAACGCCTGAATGCGTGTAGTTTTTGAGATCATATACTGAAGAGTATTCCTCAGATACAGACGATCTTGTGTTGGATCTAACAGAAGACGCTTGTGTGAGGCGTGTGAAATGTGATTTTGGTGCTGGAGGATTTTTATAACATGAGCTTTCAGTTCTGCTTTCGTTTCTGTGCTTGTAGTGACTCTATCAAACGGGACTGTCCTCTGTAATTTTATTAAAAATCACATCTGGTTCTCCTGGGACAGTTGGGTTTTGTGTTCCTTTGAGGACGTTTGCGTTGGTGAACGACTCTGAGCTCAGAATATCTTCAGAGACAGCAGATGTTTGGTGCTTTTCATGACAACTTCCTCTCCTCGTCTTTAAAATCATAAATCAGCAAATTATGTAGAAAGAAAAACCGTAGGTCTATTGTTTTGGGTTATCTATTGTATGCTGTAAGTAAACTTCTGAGGAAAACATTTTCAAACTTCACCAAAAATGAACAGTATTTCTTATGAAACTTTGACAAAATAATATTCTCATCATTACAGTAATTTTTTGTATTAAATTACCATTCAAGAGTTTAGTGTCAGTGAGATGTTTTTAAAAGAAGCCTCTTCTGCTCACCAAGGCTGCATTTATTTGATCAAAAAAAGTAAAAACATTAATATTGTGAAATATTGTTACAATTTCAAATAACTGTTTTCTATGTGAATATCTGTTCAAATGTAATTTATTGCTGTGATCAAAGCTGAATTTTCAGCATCATTCCTCCAGTCTTCAGTGTCACATATAAATATTTTGTTCCATTATAAATGTCTTTACCTTTTTTTACAATGTATAGTGTCCTTGCTGAATAAAAATTAAATTTTTAATTTCTTTAAAAAAAAAGGTTACTGACCCCAAACTTTTGATTGATAATGTATGTTATCTCACAACAGGTTAATATACAGAATTAGATATTAAACCAGTCGCAAACATTATATAATCAAATAACTCCCTAAACTCAAAAAATTGACCCTTATGACTGGTTTTGTGGTCTAGGGTCACATTTATATATTTTCGTTTTTATGAAGAAAACTTGTTGAAGAGGAAAATTAGCCTCAAACCTAATTTTTTTTGCAATTTTATTTTTTAATTTCAGTTTTAAGACTTCAGCTTAAACTTTTTGTTTTGGTTCCCAGGAGGTGTTTGTGTGGATAAATAGGTGCTTTCCATCACAGCATGAAAAGTTGAAATTCACGTTTTAGACGTGTGTGTGTGTGTGTG